GACATAGAGACAGAAAGCGAGAAATCACCCCCCAGGGGGGATGGTCACACCACAATCCCTTCTCCTCCATTCTCCTCTTGGGATCATGAGCACGCACGCACACGCGCCCGGTGTGAGTTTCAAGCCACTGGGTCCGGGACATGAACCGCGGTCGACTACGTGGGAATCCAGCGACACAGCCATTACGCTAACTGCTGGTTCCCTATTTCTTTATTTTTGAGAGAGATTTCTGCTATAGGGTATGCATGCTCACTGGGCAGTGAGAAATCACCCCCGGTGGGGTGGGATGGCTACGCTACAATCCGTTCTCCATTCTCTCAGGGTTTGGGGCATACACACACACATGTGCCCAGTATGAGTTTCAGGCCTCCAGATCCAGGACTTGAACCAATGAGCCATGTGGGAGTCCAGCAATGTGCCCATTATGCCATCTGCTGGTCCTCTGCTTTTGTTTTTCTTGAATTTCTATTCTAAAATTTTAAAGAAACCTTTTTTTAAAAGGGAGGGGGAAGCAGGTTACTGTGGTAAGATGGAGAGGGTAGGGAAATGTTGACCAGAGTGACACACACACACACAGAGAGAGGGAGAGTGAGAAAGCAAGCCTCCAGGTGCAGACTCGGGGTGGGGTGGCTGTCAGGTCCCTCTCCTCAGCGTCTCCACCCCATCTGGTGTGTGGGCCCCCAAGGTGAGCTCTGGGCAGAGGCGCTCCGGCCTCAGCCAGGCTGCCTGGGCCTAGACCTGGCTCTCCGGGTTTCCTGCGAGTGAGGCTGCCTGGCCTCTACTCGCCTCCTCGTCTTTGAGAAGTGGGGCAGCGCCTACCTCACAGTCACTGGGATTGTGAAGTGGATGCAGGCGAGCACTGACATGGCGCCCGGCCTGTGAGAGCGAGAGCGCTCGGAATGCTCTGGGCCGCTCCCTTAGGTGACAGAAGGTCACAAAGGCAGCGCACGGCAGGGACGGCGGTGCCTGGGTGCCTGGCTCAGAGGAGGTGCTCAAGCATTTTGTAAACTTTTTATTGAGAGAAAATTCACACAGCATGACATTCAAAGTGTATTTTTTTTGGAGAGGTTTTTGCTATAGTGCGCTCACCAGAAAGAGAGACAGAGAGACAGAGAGACAGAAAGCGAGAAATCACCCCCCAGGGGGGATGGCCATGCCAGAATGCCTTCTCCTCCATTCTCCTCTCAGGATCTTGGGCACGTACGCACATGCACCAAGTGCGAGTTTAAGCCACCGGGTCCGGGACGCGAACTACATGGGAGTCCAGCGACATAGCCATTACACTATCTGCTGGTCCCTCAAAGTGTATTATTATTATTTTTAGATTTTGCCACAGGCCATGTGCACTCGTCACAGAGAGTCAGAGAAAGAGTAAGAGATCACCCCCCTGGGGAGGGTGGCCACGCTGCAATCCCTTCTCCATTCTCCTTTTGAGATTTGGGGCATGCACGCACACGTGCCCTGTGTGAATCTCTAGCTGCTGGATTCAGGACTCGAACCGCAGAGCCAGCTATGTGGGATCCAACGCCTTAACCTCCATGCCCCGCTGGCCCCGCAGAGTGGACCACGTGGACGTGTACGAATGCAGCAGTTTGTAGCACAGTCCTGGCGTGGGACCAGCATCACCACCTGATTCCAGCACATTCCTTTTCACTCCCCGAAGATACCCCGTCCCCACCCCGAGCACCCTCTCAACCCCGACCCTCTCCATCCCGTGGCACCCGCTAACCCCCTCCCGTCTGTAGAACAGGCAAATACACAGGTGGTTCCCGTACAGAGTCACGTGAGGCCCACGTCTGGCTTCTTTCATCCGTGTGGTCACGGGTGCCCGTGCTTCAGCCCGTCATGGCCACCATGCGACAGACCACGTTTTGTCAGTCGATGGACATTGCGAGGGTTTATTTTCAGATTTTTGCCATAGGGTGCATACACTTACTGGAGGGTCAGAGAGAGGGAAACAGAACCCACCCCCTGGGCAGATGGCCATGCAGCAGGCCCCTCTTCATTCTCCTCCTGAGATCTTGGGCACACACACACACAGACCTGGGATGATTTTCAACCCTCTGGGTCTGGGACTTGAACTGTGGTGGTGGCCGTGTGGGGATCCACCTGCTGGCCCACAAGGGTTTATTATTAATACTCTGGTTCTCCAGTAATACAGTTCCAAACCAGAGCACTCTGTCATAGGGTACGAAGCCTTTCTTTTAAATTATTTATTCATTTCATTTTAGTCGTTATTATTATTATTATTTTAATTTGACCAGAGAGAGAGAAGGCGAAACTGAGGAAGCAAGCTGCCAGGCTGGGACTCGAACCACGTTTGATCATGTGGGAGTCCAGCACCTTAACCACCATGCCACCTGCCGGCCCCAAGGGGCAAAGCCTTCCAAACACCCTGCCGTTGTACACCACCACTCACAACCCTCTGGAGAAGGCAGGGTCTGTTTGGATGAAAAAACCACAAGGAAGATGTTGATCCTGGGGCCGGCAGGTGGCATGGTGGTTAAGGTGCTGGACTCCCACATAGTCTACTGCAGTTCAAGTCCTGGACCCGATGGCTTAAAACTCACGCAGGGCACGTGTGCATGTGTGCCCAACATCCTGAGAGAATGGAGGAGAAGGGATTGTGGTGTGGCCATCGTCCCGGGGAGTAATTTCTTGCTTTGTATCTCTCTCTCTGGGGAGCTCAAGCACGCTATAGCAAAAGTCTCTTTAAAAAAAAAAAAAAAAGCACTGGATTCTCACATGACTGACCATGGTTCAAGCCCCAGAGCAGGCAGCTTGCTTTTTCACTTCTCTCTCTCTCTCTGGTCAAATTAAAAGGTGATGATAATGAATAAAATAAAATAAATAAAATAAAATAAAATAAAGATTATTAAAAAATTAAAAAGATGTTGATCTCACAGTTTGCAGGAAAACCAGGGTGTCTACTCCGGATTCAGGGACCCCTGGGCCAGACTTAGAAATCCTGACTTTGACAAGAACTGGACAGTCCACTCCTCCCCGCTGGGCACTGAGAGGCGCTGGGCAGGTCCCAGCCTACCCGGGCCGGCCCACTGCCCTCCGGCGGCCAATCAGCGCGGGCCTCCGTAGTCGTGGCGACAGGTCGCGTCTGTGCTCTGTGAGCCGAGCGCCTTTCGCAAAGCTTAGTTACCCAGTTTTCAGGTGCCTCCGCACCGCGCGCGTGCAAGCGCGCACACACAGGCACTCGCACGCTCTGTAGCACTCCCTCTGCACCGCGACCATGGGGGAGTCCTCCGACGCGCCCCAGAACGTGGCCCTGTCGCTGTTCGGTAAGTCGGGGAGCAGCGCCGCCTACAGGAAGCCCTCGGAGTCCTACAGACCATGCAGCGTGAGCGAGGCCCAGGGCTGGGCTGGAGACCTGGCTGACTGGTGAGGTGGTTGCCAGGGAGTTGGAGCTGCGGGCCAAGTGACTTGGCTTGAAACCAAAGGCCACATCTCCCCTCCAGACTTTAAAATATTATTACTGTTTGGTCCTGGAGAAGAGGCACGGAGACGTCCAGCCTGTGGTTAAGGGAGCCAGATCCCGCGTGGCTAAGCCAGGTTCGAATCCTGCCCAGTAGGCTTGAAAGGCACATTAATACCTGTGCGTGGTTGCCCAAACCCCCAATGGGCTGGAGAAATGGAGAAAGGATTTCACCCTGACCATGCCCTGTGGAAGGGGTCTCTCTGTCTCCCTCTCTCTCCAGTGTATGCACATTCTGGGATTTTGTTGTTGAGAGACTTTTGCTGTAGAGTGTGTGAGCTTGCAGAGAGACAGAGACAGAAAGTGAAAAATCATCCCCCGGGGAGAATGGCCACAGTGCAACCTCTTCTGTACATAGCGCCTTAACCACTATGCCTCCTGCTGCCCTCCCCTCCATTCCTCTCCCTACCCCCTCACT